AGATAACAATCTCTTTACAGCCCACTTTGCACGCATTACTACAATAGCTTCTAACGCTAAGATGGCATTTCTTGATGCTGACAGCAAGTTCGTCAGATCAGAACAAGTCATACCATGCCATGGATTCATGTTGCTAGGGGATATCACTACCATGGGAAGAATCTCTCTCCTTACCTGTTCCTGCATAATTTACAGGCAACCATCAGGTTTGGAGAATATAAACATTCTAATCCCAGGATGAAGGAAAAAGGTAGCCCAATTTCAATGACTTAAAAGCAGAAATTACATACAGTGTATGCTATGAAACCTAACTGGTTTGAAGAAGATTTTTAAAAAGTACAAAGGTTAGATCTTTGAGCAACATTTTTGCTGTTACGTCAGTCTAATATAAAGTTAGAAATGCTTTAGTGTCTAAACTGAGGAAACAGGATTAAGGGGAAAAATTCTGGTGGGATATCTGGACAATGTTCTGGAAAAGGAAGAAACTGAAAACACTGCTTTTTGGACGCAGTCACTAACTTTGTTTTACAGTTATGTTTGATGAAGAATATATATTATCTCTTGCAGTATGAAAAAGCTTGAAGTGTTATAATTATGTGTGTTTAAGTGTATTACTTTCTTTACTTCCTCTCCATTTGTTAATCCCATCCCCATTGTAATACTATTTAAAAACTAACCTTTTTCAGCTGCTTTTGTGAAGTATTTAGCTGCCTTTGCAAGATCCACCTTTCCAATCTCTCCACTAGCGTATAAGTTTCCTTCAGAAAGAGAAACAATTGGCTCATTGTAATTAAAACTGAGCACCATATTCCTCACCCAAGATAATTGAATAAGTATCCATCTACAGTGACCATGGTGAATGCTTGAACCCAGACCACTCAGTCAAGACAGTCCAGCACACGGTGCATTATGCCATACAGTACACACTGCCCAATTTCTTTGCCATATAGCTAGTACAATTATCTCACCTACCAATCATAGTGTTAGCCTCTCTGACGCCATTCTTTGCACTGGCCTGAAGAAAATAACAATATATCTCAGGCCACAAGCTTTGTGATATTTAGCCCGGTAATCAAGGACCAGGCTGGTTCTTAATTTGCTCAAGTTTTGTTTACCCATTATGTTTTTCTTTTTGCTTGTTGGTGGCTCATACATATGTTCACTCCACTAACAATGTAGTCAAGTTGCTGGGGTGAAGGGTAATGAGTAGAAGGCCACAAGGACGAGATACTGACTTATTTATTTACCTCATACAGCCTGAGTGCCATCTGCAAGTCCTGTTTCATTCCAGTGCCATTGTGATAAAATTGTGCAAGAGAAAACTGAAATAAAATGTACATGCTTGAGCACTGGTTAGGCACAGTGTATTAAATATGTACAAGTTAATTTCGACCCAAGAGTACCAGTGGAGCATCTAGTGTGATCATTCAGTTGAGGACCACTGTTAATGACTGACAATAATAATTATTATTATTATACATTGTAGTCATCATCTGTCTTCTCATTGGCTAAAGGCCTACAGTTAATTCTGGGAAACAGTGCAACCTACAGATTATTCACTGATCTGCTAGCAGATTAGTGAATAATCCATAGGTTGCAAACGCAATTCCAAGACCAATGTCAAGTTCATGGACAGTGAAGTAAGAACATGGCTTGTCCAAATTAAACTGTGTTCGGTGCAACAATGCGTTTGTCATTATTTTCTTTAAAACAAAGTATAATAAAACAATTATTAGATTCATTTTTTGCGATATCCAGAATAATCAATGTCTTGGTTGGTGTTATCAGCTAACACTAACTGTAAACTATAAAGTGATAACACTTACCTTGACCTTGATTATTCTGGATATCACAAGCCTCATCCAATAATTATTGTTTATTATACATTGAACTCACTCTCTCTTTTCTGATTGGCTGAAAGCATTCAGTGAATTTTCAAAATCAACGCCTGTGACGTCATCTAGCTGCAGATTACACAAGAATCATGTCAAGGACACTCAAGGTCATGGGTAATCGTGTCATGTATGACCGTGGTGCATGATTTCTAAGGGTAATCATGTCAAGTTCATGCGCTTTGTGTTGCTTGCCAACAGTGAAAAAGCAAAAACACGACTTCCATTTTTTTTTTAGATTCAGTTTTTGTGATATCCAGAATAATCAAGGTCTCGGTAAGAGTTATCAGCCTTTGGCTTTGGCTGATAACCCCTACCATGGACTTGATTATTCTGGATATCACAAAAACCAACCTTTGACTCTGATTAAATTATATTTAGGCCAAGCTAATCTTGAGCTGATGCAGTAGCTGAAATTCCTGTCTGGAATACGTCACAAGTCAGGGGTCCATTGGCAAAAAAACTATTCAGAACCATGAAAGATTTGATTGTTGTTTTCTTGCGTGAAAAGGTGTAAAAGCATTCAATTCACAGGGATACTGTTGAGAATTATTCTGCATGCAAAGTTTAGTTAGCTGATCTTTGCAGATCAGCCATATACAAACTATTTCCAAATTGTCACAGATTTTTTGCTCCCTCGTCCCTCTCTCACCCCTCCTGCCCTCTCTGGTTTGGTTGGTATTCTGGTAAGTATTTCTTGAACCAAGTAAGTATTTTCCCCAATGAATCCATATTTAGCATGATGGTGCGACTTAGCGGCTACTTGCACGGGCGTTCCTACTTCCAGGATTGCCATTGATGCTTCCATGGTGTGTATTGCATCAGGCAACCAGCTAACCTTTGAGGTATCAGTTCCCAACTCTTGGCAATGANGAGTACCAGTGGAGCATCTAGTGTGATCATTCAGTTGAGGACCACTGTTAATGACTGACAATAATAATTATTATTATTATACATTGTAGTCATCATCTGTCTTCTCATTGGCTAAAGGCCTACAGTTAATTCTAGGAAACAGTGCAACCTACAGATTATTCACTGATCTGCTAGCAGATTAGTGAATAATCCATAGGTTGCAAACGCAATTCCAAGACCAATGTCAAGTTCATGGACAGTGAAGTAAGAACATGGCTTGTCCAAATTAAACTGTGTTCGGTGCAACAATGCGTTTGTCATTATTTTCTTTAAAACAAAGTATAATAAAACAATTATTAGATTCGTTTTTTGCGATATCCGGAATAATCAATGTCTTGGTTGGTGTCATCAGATAACCCTAACTGTAAACTGTAAAGTGATAATACTTACCTTGACCTTGATTATTCCAGATATCACAAAAGCCTCATCCAATAATTGTTTATTATACATTGAACTCACTCTCTCTTTTCTGATTGGCCGAAAGCATTCAGTGAATTTTCAAAAATCAACGCCTGCGACGTCATCTAGCTGCAGATTACACAAGAATCATGTCAAGGACACTCAAGGTCATGGGTAATCATGTCATGTATGACCGTGGTGCATGATTTCTAAGGGTAATATGCGCTTTGTGTTGCTTGCCAACAGTGAAAAAGCAAAAACACGACTTCCATTTTTTTTTTTGTTCAATTTATAATAAAACAATTATTAGATTCAGTTTTTGTGATATCTTGAATAATCAAGGTCTTGGTAAGAGTTATCAGCCTTCGGGTTTGGCTGATAACCCCTACCATGAACTTGATTATTCTGGATATCACAAAAACCAACCTTTGACTCTGATTAAATCATATTTAGGCAAAGCTAATCTTGAGCTGATGCAGTAGCTGAAATTCCTGTCTGGAATACGTCACAAGTCAGGGGTCCATTGGCAAAAAAACTATTCAGAACCATGAAAGATTTGATTGTTGTTTTCTTGCGTGAAAAGGTGTAAAAGCATTCAATTCACAGGGATACTGTTGAGAATTATTCTGCATGCAAAGTTTAGTTAGCTGATCTATGCAGATCAGCCATACACAAACTATTTCCAAATTGTCACAGATTTTTTGCTCCCTCACCCCTCTCTCACCCCTCCTTCCCTCTCTGGTGTGGTTGGTATTCTGGTAAGTATTTCTTGAATCAAGTAAGTATTTTCCCCAATGAATCCATATTTAGCATGATGGTGCGACTTAGCGGCTACTTGCAAGGTCGTTCCTACTTCCAGGATTGCCATTGATGCTTCCGTGGTGTGTATTGCATCAGGCAACCAGCTAACCTTTGAGGCATCAGTTCCCAACTCTTGGCAATGATCAGTTTAATAACAAACTTTAGAGGTTAACAACCTTTTACCTGAGCAAACGGATGGCCCTGTTCAGCAAGCTCTGTAAACAGCTTTCCAGCTTCAACAAGGTCTTTCTCTACTCCGCCTTCTCCTGTGGAGATAAAATGTAAAGAAATTTAGGAATATGATACAAAGGAGTACTTAGGTTGCTTGAGGGTTAAACAGATTCATCAAAGGGTTAAAACCTGTTTCTAGTAGTTTCCCATAACTGTACATTCCATCTGGATTACCAGCCATTGCTGAAAATCTGAAAAGTGGAGCAGCTAATTCAACTGCATCTTTTCCTACTGTAAATAAAGAAAAACAGAGCAATCAGTATCACATGAACATAAAATCTAAACAAAGCTTCTATGGAATCTGGACCTGATGTTAACAATAGGAACCCATCAAGTGTGATGTTTCAACCTACATGTGGTGCTTGTGCTTTAGATTGCCATATTTCACACCAATCTTGTACTTTTACATGTAGTCTCTTATTCAACTGGTCAGCAAAAGGGAAGCGTAAGGACTCTAGACTAGTAATGCACCTGTGTTGAAATTCGAAAGTCCCATTTGTACTTGTTCTTGTACCTGTGTAGATGACGTTCCTATTACTGTGGAACACTGCTAGGTTAAAGGGGTTCTTCAAATGAGTAAATCACCGACTGAAATTTTTTTGGCGTCCAGAATAAGGTGGCTGTAATAAGGAGGTGGCCATATGAACGGGATGGCTGTAAGGCAGAGTTCCTCTGTATCTGGTTAAATACACCATTGGCTATTGACTACCAGTCTCAAACATTTGATTAATAAACGACTTTCACATTCACCCATCAAAATTAAAAATTACAAACTGACTGATAGAGTAACTGACTGGAAGACAGATAAACAGGTAGACTGAGAAACAGTGTTAGAAAGTCAGACAGACAGACAGACAGATGTAAGTAATGTACCAATAATTGTACGGTGACAAGTAAGAGTGAATGATCACATTTTAAAGGTACAGTGGTGTCTTGTTTTCTCTAATCTCCAAGGGAAACAAAATTTGGTTAAAAAATTCTGGAATATTAGATATCAGCAGTACAGTTGCAGTGAAACAAATCTGAGAAAATCAAATGGCCCTCAGTTTGAGTGAATGGGAGGTGCCAAAATGGAAGATTTAAAAAATCTGGAATTCCACTGTACATATGCAAATCTTGTTTTCTATATCTTACTTGATTCCTGGGTGTCAAAAATAAGTGTAGCAAGCCAGTAGACATCCTTTGGAGATACTGAAATTAACAGCAAAATCATTTGAAAGTTGTTATGACCCCACTTCTTCTAATAAAGATGAGTTTACAATCTTTAAACATTCATGACAATCTCAGTCTGGAAAAAGACAAAGCAAGGCAATCTCTGTGTTTCTGATAGCTTGGCAGTAGGTTACACAGTCATACATCTTCAAAGGTTTTGCATCACAGGAAGTTAAATGGACTAATCCTATCAAATTGTAATCTTTGTATTCTAAATAATTTTCAAAGACAGTCAAAGCAACAGCGTGCACAAATGAAAAAGGTGTTTAGACAAGATCAAAAACAAAGGAATCGAACAGAACCTGATCCAAATTTCTTTGCTTCTCTCAGTGGTTTTCTTAGATGCATCTCTCTTTCTCAATCAAATTAAGTTATTAGGGAATATTTACTTATGGATAGATACAGTCAGGTAGTTTCAAACTGTGCATGACTTGTTAAATAATAAAAATATCTTACATCCTTCTGCAGTTCTTGTGACTGACACTGATAACACTTCTCCTTTCCAGTGCTTGATCAAAGCTTCTAGAAGTTTCATATGTTGTTCCAAATTACTTTGATCCAGGGAATCTTGTAATTTGTCTTTTATTAAGTTTGAAAGGGTTTCAAATGCTGCAAAAAACAAGAGAAACAATCTTTGATATCTGGCATTGACAACAATGATACCGTGAAATAAAGATGTGATCTTCGCAGTTGTTATCGCAATTTAAGCAATCAAAAGTTAAGCCTGAAAAAACAATTCAAAGCTTCAACAGGATTTTTGAGCCTATGGTAGCAGCACTGTGGTTAACACTGCAAAGTTCTACCATCTGAGCTACAATTTATGAAGACCTCTACATTGAGAGCAAGCCAAATTATTGAGTTCATCTTAACCCATGAAAAGGAAATGAAATATAGAATAAATGATAAACTGCTGCGGAAATATGTAAGAAATGAAGAAGAAATCATCACAATATTGTTATCCCAATTTAAGCAATTGCAAGTTGACCAGTTCACCAGTTGATCAATCTGCAGTTTTTTAACTAAAATCTCCAGGGTTTTTGACCTCGCTCTCCAGGTTTTTTCTGCTTTGAGGTTGAGAAGTCTGTTCTTCCAGTATCAGCCTGTTACTTGTTCATTTTTCTTCCCTGGGACTCACACTAAATCCATGTCATCACCTGACATGAGTCATGCATGCAGTAATGATGGAAAAAATAATCATAGGAAAGAATATCCTCAGCATCCCTACCCCTGAGCCAGCCACAATGTAATGCCCCTCCCGACTCAACCAACAAATTCTGCCATAAAGCATAGTGGTGATCTCAACCTATTTCCTATTGTCAGTGCATACCTCCCTGTCTCCCAGGATGGACGGGGCAGGGGGGGTGCTGGGGCAGAGGGGGTGGATATGGGGTAGGTCGTGATAAAGGAGAGAGGTACACATTTTATGAAGCAAAAGTTCTAAGAATCTAGCAGCAATTTGCATTTCCACTTACTGAGCTGTGGAGTATTGTCAGGGCCAGGTCCAGTCGTTGAAAGTCTGTTTTCTCGTAATCTCAAAAAATTTCCCACGTTGTGCCTTGAAAATGTAGTCGGAAATGCAGGCGATCCACTTCTCCCTAGCGCTAAATAACTCAAGCTGCATCTGTGATAGAATAATACACATCGTTCCCTTAAAAAACAACGGATCCCATCAGCAATGAGCGGACGGCAAAGTTGAGAAGAAATGCGAAGACAACGAGAGCTGGCCGCCATGTTCGTAATGTTTAGAACCTATTGAGCCCGCGATCACCGGAAAACATTATTTGTTTATTCCTTCGGGGGACGAGTTGGGGGAAATAATTGCAAAGCATAAATTCCTCCATTAAGCGACTTTAGAACAGAACACTTTCTGTGTTAATAGAATTTTTACGTCCGAATAGTCACATTTACTAGCTTCTTGGCGATTCCAAATGTTAAATTCAGCGATCCCGATACAATTCAATCACAACTTCCTGACCCGTCCCTCCCTAGAAGTTGACCGCTAGTTTGCGTGCGACCATTTGAAATTTTTTCCTTTGGATTGTACTATAAAGGATTTGATATCCCAGTTATCATTCGATCTTTCTGTGTAAAACATGAGAAAATAAGGTTAAGGATGGTATCTTTCCGTCCAAGTATTGGTTTCCTTCCTGTCGTACTTATTTGATCGGCTATACAAAAGGGATGGCTTCGTTCTCTCCATGACAGGACCAGCATGGACAACAACAACAGTATTCCTTACGGATCGATATCTTGGGACAATGAAGATTCGTTTCCTCCAACGAATCAGCCAAGGGAACCACGTGGAATTCCTCCACTAAGACCTTCCACTTTACCCAGCAGTAATGGTCTAAGATACTCTCTACGAGGTCCACATTTTCCGCCACCGCAACAAAGAATCCAGGGTGTTGGAATTTCCAGAAATGTAGAGTTAGCAAACCGTCTCCAACAGGGAGACACGCCACAGACCAGCTTTCAACAGCCCAGTAGTTCTAGTGCAAGTTCTGCTCCATACGAAAGATACTTTACATTGCAACCTTCGCGAAGCACTTCGCATGTGCAAATGCATTCTATGGAACCACAATCCTCAAACTGTGTGAATTCAACTACTGAAGGTCAAACGTATGCCACATTATACGCGAATCCTGCACCAGGGTCCAGTTCTGGTAACCCTGCATTGACTTCAGTCTCAGAAGATCCCAATTTTTCAGCCCCTAGTGTTTATAATGAAAATGCTTGCAATAATAATATAGAGATGTCTCAAGGCCTTTCAAGAGGAGGGTGAGTGAACAGCTAATGCTATGACTTTTGAGGTTTTGGATCATTTCTTAGGAAACCTCTGGGCGCAGTTGTTGAAAGGGTGGATAACGCTATCCAGTGGACAATTATAAGTGTGCACAAAACAAACCACACTATACACTGGACAGTGAATTATCTGGTGGATAGTGTTATCTTCCCTTTGAACAACCTGGGCCTCAGATGTATAATAAAAATAATAATAGAGCATCAATGTTCCCACATCTTGTAGAATTTTAATCAAATTTCACAGATATTGCCCTCTCAGAGCCTCGATTTCTTTTGCAAGGCTGCCAAAGTCCCGACTTGCAGGAAAGACACTCGTGTCTGGTCTCCCTGCCTAGCAAAGTGTAAGATTTACCAGTCACCATCTCTGTGTGTAGCAGAATCCTCAGACCAATCCCAGGTTGACTAGAATCATTACAATGTCTGCATTATCCCATTTCTTTATTATGCATTCAGTTTCTTTTGTTAATTGGCCATATAGTAAGCCTTGTCAGTCTCCTATTCTGCTAGTGGAGCAGGTTCTTCAGTACATGTAGGTCACTGGCAGGAATTCTCGTAGAAGCGCTAAATTTGCACGTGCAAAGGTTATATGATAGTGGGCCAAGTGGCTCTCATATATGTAAGTAGTGTCCAATGCATTGACTAGCCTACATTGACCAGCCTGGAGGGGGATTGGCTTCTCCCCTTCCCCTCCTCCCAGGACGGGATGCAAAGAACATCACAGATTTTCTGGGTCCAAATTATAGTCGTCTAGCAAGCCAAAATCAGATTGGCTCTGTCTTCAGGTTTACTCTACCTGCAAAAAATTTAGATACAGTAATTTGATACCAGTTTTTGTATATGATTTTTTTAAAGGAGCTATGAAAGGTTTCATGCAAGCAGAGCAAAGAGAAAAAGTAGTTTATCAAGTGATGAAGGGTAAGCTAATCAAATAAATTGTTACTTTATTACATAAATTTCAATAATCCCTTGTTCTTCTAGCAGGAATTAAAGAATTGATTTATTATTTCATTTTTTTTTTCCCTCTGGTCAAACGATGCCCATTGTTCTTACTAAATATCTGAACTTTTGAAATCAAAATTTGCTTGGCAATAGACTTCCTTTAGTCAAACAGCACTGTACGTTGCCTTAAATATATATAGAATACTGGCCTGCTAAAATAGCTTCACATTCACAGCAAACGTCTTAATGCGTTGGTCTCAGAGAACTCTTATTCAAGTCTTCATGCCAGTAGCAAACAAAGCTATGAAGATGTGAATAATGTCCAGTCAATAATTTTACATTTTTTGTTTTGTTTCAGACAAGATGGTCCTTCGACCAAGCAATTTCTGTCAGAGGAAAGAATGGCGGCAAGGATGCACAATTTGCGAATAAGCAGTGACCACAATTACCCAGTAAATATCATACAACGCTTTATGGACAGCTTTAATCAGGAATCTAAGAGTTCTCAAAGCCAAATTAATGATGATGATGATGATGAACTTGAAAATGCAGATGAGATGCAAAGAAGGTGAGCAGAAGGAATAATTATTGTTCATGTTATATCCTGGCAAGAGGACGGAAATCACATGCTCGCTTTAGAAAAGTGTCTCAGTCCCTGAATAAGAGTTCAGTTACAGAGGCACAAGTGAAATTCAGCCGGGACCAGCCAGCCAACTATTATCTATCTAAGAGATGTGTCCCCCAAATAGTGGTATCTCAATGATGGAGTTGACTTTACTTGCATTTTGTCAGAGCAGCCGGACAAAAAACTGGGGGGACCTTCCATGGTTGAACATCTTGGCAGAGCNGACGTCATCTAGCTGCAGATTACACAAGAATCATGTCAAGGACACTCAAGGTCACGGGTAATCATGTCATGTATGACCGTGGTGCATGATTTCTAAGGGTAATATGCGCTTTGTGTTGCTTGCCAACAGTGAAAAAGCAAAAACACGACTTCCATTTTTTTTTTTGTTCAATTTATAATAAAACAATTATTAGATTCAGTTTTTGTGATATCTTGAATAATCAAGGTCTTGGTAAGAGTTATCAGCCTTCGGGTTTGGCTGATAACCCCTACCATGAACTTGATTATTCTGGATATCACAAAAACCAACCTTTGACTCTGATTAAATCATATTTAGGCAAAGCTAATCTTGAGCTGATGCAGTAGCTGAAATTCCTGTCTGGAATACGTCACAAGTCAGGGGTCCATTGGCAAAAAAACTATTCAGAACCATGAAAGATTTGATTGTTGTTTTCTTGCGTGAAAAGGTGTAAAAGCATTCAATTCACAGGGATACTGTTGAGAATTATTCTGCATGCAAAGTTTAGTTAGCTGATCTATGCAGATCAGCCATACACAAACTATTTCCAAATTGTCACAGATTTTTTGCTCCCTCACCCCTCTCTCACCCCTCCTTCCCTCTCTGGTGTGGTTGGTATTCTGGTAAGTATTTCTTGAATCAAGTAAGTATTTTCCCCAATGAATCCATATTTAGCATGATGGTGCGACTTAGCGGCTACTTGCAAGGTCGTTCCTACTTCCAGGATTGCCATTGATGCTTCCGTGGTGTGTATTGCATCAGGCAACCAGCTAACCTTTGAGGCATCAGTTCCCAACTCTTGGCAATGATCAGTTTAATAACAAACTTTAGAGGTTAACAACCTTTTACCTGAGCAAACGGATGGCCCTGTTCAGCAAGCTCTGTAAACAGCTTTCCAGCTTCAACAAGGTCTTTCTCTACTCCGCCTTCTCCTGTGGAGATAAAATGTAAAGAAATTTAGGAATATGATACAAAGGAGTACTTAGGTTGCTTGAGGGTTAAACAGATTCATCAAAGGGTTAAAACCTGTTTCTAGTAGTTTCCCATAACTGTACATTCCATCTGGATTACCAGCCATTGCTGAAAATCTGAAAAGTGGAGCAGCTAATTCAACTGCATCTTTTCCTACTGTAAATAAAGAAAAACAGAGCAATCAGTATCACATGAACATAAAATCTAAACAAAGCTTCTATGGAATCTGGACCTGATGTTAACAATAGGAACCCATCAAGTGTGATGTTTCAACCTACATGTGGTGCTTGTGCTTTAGATTGCCATATTTCACACCAATCTTGTACTTTTACATGTAGTCTCTTATTCAACTGGTCAGCAAAAGGGAAGCGTAAGGACTCTAGACTAGTAATGCACCTGTACTGAAATTCGAAAGTCCCACTTGTACTTGTTCTTGTACCTGTGTAGATGAGGTTCCTATTACCGTGGAACACCGCTAGGTTAAAGGGGTTCTTCAAATGAGTAAATCACCAACTGAAATTTTTTGGGGGGCCAGAATATAGTGGCCGTAATAAAGAGGTGGCCATATGAACGGGATGGTTGTAAGGCAGAGTTCCTCTGTATCTGGTTAAATATACCATTGGCTATTGACTACCAGTCTCAAACATTTGATTAATAAACAACTTTCACATTCACCCATCAAAATTAAAAATTACAAACTGACTGATAGACTAACTGACTGGAAGACAGATAAACAGGTAGACTGAGAAACAGTGTTAGAAAGTCAGACAGACAGATGTAAGTGATGTACCAATGATTGTACGGTGACAAGTAAGAGTGAATGATCACATTATAAAGGTACAGTGGTGTCTTGATTTCTCTAATCTCCAAGGGAAACAAAATTTGGTTAAAAAATTCTGGAATATTAGATATCAGCAGTACAGTTGCAGTGAAACAAATCTGAGAAAATCAAATGGCCCTCAGTTTGAGTGAATGGGAGGTGCCAAAATGGAAGATTTAAAAAATCTGGAATTCCACTGTACATATGCAAATCTTGTTTTCTATATCTTACTTGATTCCTGGGTGTCAAAAATAAGTGTAGCAAGCCAGTAGACATCCTTTGGAGATACTGAAATTAACAGCAAAATCATTTGAAAGTTGTTATGACCCCACTTCTTCTAATAAAGATGAGTTTACAATCTTTAAACATTCATGACAATCTCAGTCTGGAAAAAGACAAAGCAAGGCAATCTCTGTGTTTCTGATAGCTTGGCAGTAGGTTACACAGTCATACATCTTCAAAGGTTTTGCATCACAGGAAGTTAAATGGACTAATCCTATCAAATTGTAATCTTTGTATTCTAAATAATTTTCAAAGACAGTCAAAGCAACAGCGTGCACAAATGAAAAAGGTGTTTAGACAAGATCAAAAACAAAGGAATCGAACAGAACCTGATCCAAATTTCTTTGCTTCTCTCAGTGGTTTTCTTAGATGCATCTCTCTTTCTCAATCAAATTAAGTTATTAGGGAATATTTACTTATGGATAGATACAGTCAGGTAGTTTCAAACTGTGCATGACTTGTTAAATAATAAAAATATCTTACATCCTTCTGCAGTTCTTGTGACTGACACTGATAACACTTCTCCTTTCCAGTGCTTGATCAAAGCTTCTAGAAGTTTCATATGTTGTTCCAAATTACTTTGATCCAGGGAATCTTGTAATTTGTCTTTTATTAAGTTTGAAAGGGTTTCAAATGCTGCAAAAAACAAGAGAAACAATCTTTGATATCTGGCATTGACAACAATGATACCGTGAAATAAAGATGTGATCTTCGCAGTTGTTATCGCAATTTAAGCAATCAAAAGTTAAGCCTGAAAAAACAATTCAAAGCTTCAACAGGATTTTTGAGCCTATGGTAGCAGCACTGTGGTTAACACTGCAAAGTTCTACCATCTGAGCTACAATTTATGAAGACCTCTACATTGAGAGCAAGCCAAATTATTGAGTTCATCTGAACCCATGAAAAGGAAATGAAATATAGAATAAATGATAAACTGCTGCGGAAATATGGAAGAAATGAAGAAGAAATCATCACAATATTGTTATCCCAATTTAAGCAATTGCAAGTTGACCAGTTCACCAGTTGATCAATCTGCAGTTTTTTAACTAAAATCTCCAGGGTTTTTGACCTCGCTCTCCAGGTTTTTTCTGCTTTGAGGTTGAGAAGTCTGTTCTTCCAGTATCAGCCTGTTACTTGTTCATTTTTCTTCCCTGGGACTCACACTAAATCCATGTCATCACCTGACATGAGTCATGCATGCAGTAATGATGGAAAAAATAATCATAGGAAAGAATATCCTCAGCATCCCTACCCCTGAGCCAGCCACAATGTAATGCCCCTCCCGACTCAACCAACAAATTCTGCCATAAAGCATAGTGGTGATCTCAACCTATTTCCTATTGTCAGTGCATACCTCCCTGTCTCCCAGGATGGACGGGGCAGGGGGGGTGCTGGGGCAGAGGGGGTGGATATGGGGTAGGTCGTGATAAAGGAGAGAGGTACACATTTTATGAAGCAAAAGTTCTAAGAATCTAGCAGCAATTTGCATTTCCACTTACTGAGCTGTGGAGTATTGTCAGGGCCAGGTCCAGTCGTTGAAAGTCTGTTTTCTCGTAATCTCAAAAAATTTCCCACGTTGTGCCTTGAAAATGTAGTCGGAAATGCAGGCGATCCACTTCTCCCTAGCGCTAAATAACTCAAGCTGCATCTGTGATAGAATAATACACATCGTTCCCTTAAAAAACAACGGATCCCATCAGCAATGAGCGGACGGCAAAGTTGAGAAGAAATGCGAAGACAACGAGAGCTGGCCGCCATGTTCGTAATGTTTAGAACCTATTGAGCCCGCGATCACCGGAAAACATTATTTGTTTATTCCTTCGGGGGACGAGTTGGGGGAAATAATTGCAAAGCATAAATTCCTCCATTAAGCGACTTTAGAACAGAACACTTTCTGTGTTAATAGAATTTTTACGTCCGAATAGTCACATTTACTAGCTTCTTGGCGATTCCAAATGTTAAATTCAGCGATCCCGATACAATTCAATCACAACTTCCTGACCCGTCCCTCCCTAGAAGTTGACCGCTAGTTTGCGTGCGACCATTTGAAATTTTTTCCTTTGGATTGTACTATAAAGGATTTGATATCCCAGTTATCATTCGATCTTTCTGTGTAAAACATGAGAAAATAAGGTTAAGGATGGTATCTTTCCGTCCAAGTATTGGTTTCCTTCCTGTCGTACTTATTTGATCGGCTATACAAAAGGGATGGCTTCGTTCTCTCCATGACAGGACCAGCATGGACAACAACAACAGTATTCCTTACGGATCGATATCTTGGGACAATGAAGATTCGTTTCCTCCAACGAATCAGCCAAGGGAACCACGTGGAATTCCTCCACTAAGACCTTCCACTTTACCCAGCAGTAATGGTCTAAGATACTCTCTACGAGGTCCACATTTTCCGCCACCGCAACAAAGAATCCAGGGTGTTGGAATTTCCAGAAATGTAGAGTTAGCAAACCGTCTCCAACAGGGAGACACGCCACAGACCAGCTTTCAACAGCCCAGTAGTTCTAGTGCAAGTTCTGCTCCATACGAAAGATACTTTACATTGCAACCTTCGCGAAGCACTTCGCATGTGCAAATGCATTCTATGGAACCACAATCCTCAAACTGTGTGAATTCAACTACTGAAGGTCAAACGTATGCCACATTATACGCGAATCCTGCACCAGGGTCCAGTTCTGGTAACCCTGCATTGACTTCAGTCTCAGAAGATCCCAATTTTTCAGCCCCTAGTGTTTATAATGAAAATGCTTGCAATAATAATATAGAGATGTCTCAAGGCCTTTCAAGAGGAGGGTGAGTGAACAGCTAATGCTATGACTTTTGAGGTTTTGGATCATTTCTTAGGAAACCTCTGGGCGCAGTTGTTGAAAGGGTGGATAACGCTATCCAGTGGACAATTATAAGTGTGCACAAAACAAACCACACTATACACTGGACAGTGAATTATCTGGTGGATAGTGTTATCTTCCCTTTGAACAACCTGGGCCTCAGATGTATAATAAAAATAATAATAGAGCATCAATGTTCCCACATCTTGTAGAATTTTAATCAAATTTCACAGATATTGCCCTCTCAGAGCCTCGATTTCTTTTGCAAGGCTGCCAAAGTCCCGACTTGCAGGAAAGACACTCGTGTCTGGTCTCCCTGCCTAGCAAAGTGTAAGATTTACCAGTCACCATCTCTGTGTGTAGCAGAATCCTCAGACCAATCCCAGGTTGACTAGAATCATTACAATGTCTGCATTATCCCATTTCTTTATTATGCATTCAGTTTCTTTTGTTAATTGGCCATATAGTAAGCCTTGTCAGTCTCCTATTCTGCTAGTGGAGCAGGTTCTTCAGTACATGTAGGTCACTGGCAGGAATTCTCGTAGAAGCGCTAAATTTGCACGTGCAAAGGTTATATGATAGTGGGCCAAGTGGCTCTCATATATGTAAGTAGTGTCCAATGCATTGACTAGCCTACATTGACCAGCCTGGAGGGGGATTGGCTTCTCCCCTTCCCCTCCTCCCAGGACGGGATGCAAAGAACATCACAGATTTTCTGGGTCCAAATTATAGTCGTCTAGCAAGCCAAAATCAGATTGGCTCTGTCTTCAGGTTTACTCTACCTGCAAAAAATTTAGATACAGTAATTTGATACCAGTTTTTGTATATGATTTTTTTAAAGGAGCTATGAAAGGTTTCATGCAAGCAGAGCAAAGAGAAAAAGTAGTTTATCAAGTGATGAAGGGTAAGCTAATCAAATAAATTGTTACTTTATTACATAAATTTCAATAATCCCTTGTTCTTCTAGCAGGAATTAAAGAATTGATTTATTATTTCATTTTTTTTTTCCCTCTGGTCAAACGATGCCCATTGTTCTTACTAAATATCTGAACTTTTGAAATCAAAATTTGCTTGGCAATAGACTTCCTTTAGTCAAACAGCACTGTACGTTGCCTTAAATATATATAGAATACTGGCCTGCTAAAATAGCTTCACATTCACAGCAAACGTCTTAATGCGTTGGTCTCAGAGAACTCTTATTCAAGTCTTCATGCCAGTAGCAAACAAAGCTATGAAGATGTGAATAATGTCCAGTCAATAATTTTACATTTTTTGTTTTGTTTCAGACAAGATGGTCCTTCGACCAAGCAATTTCTGTCAGAGGAAAGAATGGCGGCAAGGATGCACAATTTGCGAATAAGCAGTGACCACAATTACCCAGTAAATATCATACAACGCTTTATGGACAGCTTTAATCAGGAATCTAAGAGTTCTCAAAGCCAAATTAATGATGATGATGATGATGAACTTGAAAATGCAGATGAGATGCAAAGAAGGTGAGCAGAAGGAATAATTATTGTTCATGTTATATCCTGGCAAGAGGACGGAAATCACATGCTCGCTTTAGAAAAGTGTCTCAGTCCCTGAATAAGAGTTCAGTTACAGAGGCACAAGTGAAATTCAGCCGGGACCAGCCAGCCAACTATTATCTATCTAAGAGATGTGTCCCCCAAATAGTGGTATCTCAATGATGGAGTTGACTTTACTTGCATTTTGTCAGAGCAGCCGGACAAAAAACTGGGGGGACCTTCCATGGTTGAACATCTTGGCAGAGCAATACCACTCCTTCTGTAGTCACTGATACCGTATCAACTGCAGCTAAGATGCAGGACTGATGAGCTATTACTAACACTTTTTCGATTCTAAGACCTGGAACAAACCTAACCTTTTACCAATTTAGATTAGTATTTTATGTACTGTATTTTATATATTTATCAGACTAAACATACATGTTCCCCATCTGTTTTATCAGCAAGGTACATTAATGATGTAACAAGGGTAATAAAGAGGATGCTGTTGTTGTTATGATAATTATATACACTAGGGTATATATCTTTATAATTTTGCAGTACATACATAATATGGATACATTTGCATCACTTTATAAAATATGCTTGACATTTATATACCATAAAAGAGACCAATCATGGTCAAAATTGATCAAATCAAGTTGGGTAAACTGCAATTGTACTAACTGTGTCAGGAAAATGGGTTGTGTTTCAGACACAAGGTTAAAATGTCTAAAATTAATCATTTTACAGGAAGGTTCATTGTCATTTTCTGCAGGATAGACAACGTACCGGTGTTTGTTCTGTCATCTCACGTGAAGGAAGCTATGGCCAAAACTGAGCCGATTATTCCAGAGGCTATTTACAATCAGTTGTAAGTTTATTTGAACTATATTTCTCTTTACTGTGCTTGTTTGGAAGACAGTAATTAGGTTGCAGCACACTTCAAAGGTGCCGCAAAAAGTTGTATTAATTTGTATTGGGGGGTTGGGGAGTCGTTATTAATTTTCAAGACCTTTCAAGGAAGGTAGGGGTTTTATCTTTAACCTGCTAGTGCATCATTAAAAAGTGTTTGAAGGAGACTTTCAAGTGTTTTTTTTCTGTTTACCATTGAACACATATACATGTACACATTAACCAACAAGCAACAATATGAAAGCAACAATCAGTACTTTTCAATCTAATTCTGCTGATGATATTTTTGTTCTTGTTGTTTTACAGAAGCAAGCCTTGTTTAGCTGTTGTTCCATGGAAAAGTCCTAATGATAGATTTACCCCTTCAACAGGAAGAAAACAAGTTGATGAGGTAAGAGAAGTTCTTACTAATAATCTGAAGTGAAGTTAGAAGATCACTGAAGTCTCATCACATGTTTGGATATCATTCTAAGTCCATGGTCTCTACTCTAAAGAAGCTGACCTTTCAAAAAAGAGTTAGATTTACTTTGATGATGATGATGATGACCATGACCATGATGATGGAACTCAACTTGTACTTATGTAACACACATTTTACAATATTGTATCATGGCACTCATGTATACCACACAAGTGAACAGTGCTTTTCGCAGGCTGATTGGCTAACTTGAAGTGATTAGCAAGTACTATTTACTTCTGAGTGGCTAGACTACTTCTCTTTAGTATCACCAAACTAGTGGACTAATGCAAATCCTGCATTTTAATTGGCTGCGCTACTAGAGGACTATTAGCAATAGTCCTCGACTATTAGCAATAGTCCTCGAGTAGTGAAATTGGCGTAATCGAGCATGACGCTTTCTTTTGTTTTATTCCCAAATAAATATTTCTTCAACTTGCATTTGCTAACTTTATTATCACCCTTTCTGTCCGACTAGTTGGGTGATACTAAAACAAGGGCTATGGGTCAATACTGAAAAGTTCAAAAATTTTATGATATTCATGGTTTTGTTAGGACAAGAATGAAAGTGAACCAAGTAGCAGCAGCAGCAGCAGTTCCTGTACCAGTCTTGTTATGGAAAGTATCCCAGAAGAAACAGAACAGTTTCAGGACAAAGGGTGAGTTTACATTGAGGCTAAAACAACATTGTAGCAATTGATTATATTAATGACGAGACTGGGCATTTTGTAAGTTGTGGAGTTGGAGTTGCAAGCTGCAAATTGCGAGTTGCAAGTTGCGATTTGTGAGTTACAAGTTGCAGTTGGTAGTTTACCTCTACCACATGTTCCAATTTGGTAGTCAATCAATAGACCATTTTTGTATTCTCTGTATTTAACTGGAACTAGCTTGCAACTGAGGCTAATGTGTGGGGAGTCTTTTCAAATGCAAATGACATTTATCTCTTCTTAATGATATTCCCCGCATGAGCCTCTATTGTGAGCTAGTTCCAGTCCAATGAGAACAAGACTGTGGCCTGTTCTCCTAGATAAGTTCTAAGTAGATATTTGGAGTACTGTGATCTATATGTACATGTACTTCATCAAAATGAAAAGTTAAATATCTCTGATTCTTTCATTCACAGCGTTCATCATGTTGAGATTGTTGGCGAATGCAACACGTTTAATTTTGAAGATGATGACATGGAGCTATAAAAATATGTTATTTATATTCTTCTAATAATTACTATTATTGTATCTAAAGAATGTTGATTATAATTTGATGATAATGTCATTCTTCAAGCAAATATTTCCAGAACTGTTATATAAATTGTAGTTACTTTGTTGTCAAACTTATCTTTTTTTCGAATTCCATTCGGGAAGTAAATGTGCACAAAATGTAAAATTTTTCTTTGTTGAAATGATGTTTGTGTTGTTTGTTCCATATCCAATGTTACAAACTGGCAAAACTGCGAATATTTGAGTCCTCTGGTGTTCACTTTGTAACATATAGTTATTTTGGGAGAATTGGAAGAGTGAAATATATCCCTTCCTTGCCTAACTTCCATCACAAAATGTTACAGGCACCTGTGAGTGACAACAACTGGACAGGCTGTATTCAGAGGCTGGGCACTTATTTTCAAATAACTGAGAAAAGTCAAATTATCTAGTATATGCTCTGTGAAATGGTTGTTCTTATTGCAGTCCAGTAAAAAGTTTTTCTTGTCAGTGGGTGACAACACCCTCATAGTTCGTACCCTGTGACCAGAGTTTAGGGCGGGAAAAAACCCAGGTCCTACTGCCCGGGGCAAGTAAATTTTACGCTTGAGCAAGTGAAAATGGAAGTTTGGTGGTCCGGTAGGCAAGTGAAATTAACCTCAGCAGTTTTGTTACGGATCATTTCCAATAAAAAACAATTTCAAAACTTAAGACTGCAAGATGAGCAAATCAGTGAGTTAAAAGCATGGATTAATTTAAAATCAAAGCATACTTGATTATAGACAGTACCTGACAAATAAAGTACCGGTAGTTGTTTCAAGAGGCATTCATGCATGCCAATTGGACAAGCAGATTTTAGTGAGGGCAAGTGAAAACTGAAATGTACTGGCCTCCTTGGCAACTGGATTTTAATTGTTTTTTCCTGCCCTGGAGTTGCTTTGATCTTTCCGAGATAAGTCGCCTTCCTCTTTACTGACTTATCTAGGAAAGATTGGAGCAACTCTGCTTGTAGGGTACATAGTTGAAGGATAAAGCATTCAGCAAACATTTGTGTGACCAAAGTGTACAAAGTCATGTGGGAATGTTTGCTATGTGGCCCACAATGAGTTGGGTTATTTTTGTGACAAGCATAACAACCATAACAGGTTACAGTTGGTTAATATTTAGTGCTTATTTAGTAATGCAATACAAAGTGTGTAAACAAACTGCATGGCAACAAAGAATTCAGAATTGTAGTATGAAAAGGTGAGTTTCTATTACAAGCATTCAAAATCTCTCCAGACCCATTAACATAGAGAATGTTCTACAGTCTACATAACATTGTAGTGATTTTGTTGAAATAGATTGTTACAAAAAGTATATCAATCAAAAACTATCCACTTAATTTAAAAATTTAGTTACCTTAGAAAATGGGTGCAGTCATAAAATTATTCTGTACAACTTTCTTTTATGATAAATATGTTAGGTCTTTGGAGAATAAGCTCTGCCAAGTGTGATTACTGCAAAAGCTCTCTTAGCCCCCTTCAACTTGGTAATAGGTCTTAATTTTGTCCAGGTGTCTGTAAACATACAACTGTACTCTGGCTTCACAGTTACCCTATATTTGATGAATCACTCATATGGAAAATACTGACCAAATACACCTTCTTATGGTTTCTGATGCCATCTTAATTGGGGGCCAAACATGGCAAAAATTCTAGTAAATGCATGGGGAAAATGGAGAATCTTAGTCTAACAACTTGCACAAAATTTGAGTTTTGAAGCATTTATGAATTAAAAACTTAAGTTACTTGGTCAAAGAATTTACAGATCACATTTGAGGGAAATAGCCTTGCTAGAAAAGCCTCAATTAAGTTTTCATTTTCATATGTATTTCTGCAAAACTGAGTCGCAATTCCCACGAAAATTTAGACATTTGTCTTAAAAATTAAAAGTGGAATTTATTCCTTGTCTGACAGCAAATCTATGTTTTTCAAATTTTATCAACAAAAATTTCTGCTGAGTACCTTTTCCTTGTAACTCATCAAATACTAAGAACGTCAATCACTCTCAAGTTATTGGGCATCAAATTTGTAACTTTTCTCAAACATTTACTGCAATATTTGCTGTGTTTGCCCCCAAGCAAGATGGCGTCAGAAACCGTGTCTATTAGACTTCAAGTCCTTGATGCATTACCATGCATTTTAGAGAGTAAAAGATTTGAAAAATTTTTGGTTCCAAGTTATGTTGATTATAGTTATTTGCATTAAAGCCCAAATCTCTCTAAGCTTCACCCAACTCAGCAAATTCAAAAGAGCAAAGAGAGCTTTGGAACAGCGTTTACGTGTACGGTTATCACAATTTTCAAGGCACTACAAAAATCTTCAACGTTTGATGTTCAAAAATATATATTGTCTTTCGTTGAAGCCCATGTTACTGCTGCAAAGCTTGAGCTCTCATTTCTCTTAAACGGCTGGAAATCGGAATTCTCTCGCTTCTCTCGCTTCGCGTGCTTTGAGAAGTTGTCAAGCTACTACCAGTTCCTGTAATTAACGAAGATGTGTCGTAACTACTTCCAGTCATCGAACCACCGCTCAACTTTCCCGTCAAAGCAGAGTGACCTTCGCTCCGATAGCCTTTAGTAGCAGCTATTTGCTTCAGAACACTGACCAAGGAAGTCGGTGGGACGTTCAGCTTGATCAAATCCAACAGTATCTTGAAAACATCGCGATCTAGAGTGACTCCACTCAAATTGCACAGTTCTAGAAGTTCCTCATCCACGCTTTTGGCATTCGCTCGAGTTACTGACACTTTGTAAATATCCGGGGAAGATTGCGCTCTTGACATGGCTAAAAGTCTCAGATAAATTGGTTTACATATCACAGTGCTCCTTTTCCCTTTTTTCTGGAGCTATAGAGGCTTGAATTCAAGAAGAAACGCGGAAAAACTCGGAAATCAACACCTGCATGGAACCATTTTGCAAATAATATTGATTTCGTTCCCAGTCCTCATCATATTGTTTGTGGAATAGTGTGTGGTGTATGCCAACGTAAATTGTCTCAAAGGCAGGTGACTTTACCCGAGAAAAGACTTCCCCATCGACTAACTGATCGCCGAAATTGTTTTCCGTCCTCAACGGGAGCCTGTTCGCAGGCTATAACGGAGGAGGCCGCGGAAACAGAGGGGAGCGAAAGTTTCCCTATTTCTCTTCCCCCTATTCGCTAGGGAGAGAACCAGTTCCATCAACTTCCTCCCCAGGGGCTGCTTGCCGGGCTGTGCGATATTTTCGGGCGAAAGTTGTTCAGTAAACTTTCGCCCGAAACTATCGCGTCGCCCGAAAATATCGCATCCCCTGACTAGAAGCCCCTGGGTCTCCGAGGATGCAACTGTACGTGCAACTCAGGGAACCTTCCTTTCTTCCTAAAAGTCGTCAGTGATATTAAACATGATTAAAGTGAAATCGGTATTGTAAACTGTTGTAATTACCATTAAGACTTTTTACTGCGCCTTTCAAGAACATGCGGACTTAAAATTCAAAGCTCAACCGACAAATGCGTTTTTCGCTACCGTCAATCAAATGTTCGGCGGATCCTCCCAGCTTCCGAGTACTGCCGAGCGCGCGGTAATCAAATCAAATCGTTGAGCACAGTTCAGACAACATAGTCGGAAGCTGCGAGGAGCCGCCGAACATTTGATTGACGGTAGCGAAAAACGCATTTGTCGGTTGAGCTTTTAATTTTAGGGTCCGCATGTTATTGAAAGGCGCAGTAAACTTTGGCCAATATATATATGCTACTATCATGAGGAGACCCACATGTTACCAGAAACAATGATGTTGTTATGCAGGAATAGTCTTTTAACAAAGATGGGCAATTAATTAGCAAATTATTTATAGAAATAAGAAGACTATATCAACATTAGAAGATCGAAATAGCTCCCCCAGCTATTAATAAAGCAGGCTAGATTGGGCTGAATATCGAAATAGAAAAACAATGTAAATTCTTTAATTTGAGAGAGTTCATATGACTGGCTAAAAATACTTGCGACTAATAACCTGAAAAAATCGCGCTGAAAGCGAATGAAAGCCTGGTTTTCACTACCAACACAGGCGTAACCAAAAATACAACAAAAGTTACTCGAAGATTGTCGAAACATCCTTCCTGTCAAATTTAATCTGCTATGGGATCTTAGTCTGTTCAGAGTTAGACCTTCAAATTTCTCTACCTTCTTCAGGGCGCCTACAAAATGAAAACCTCGGGGAACTGAACAAACGGGGAACGAGTGGGAGTAATTTACTTTAAAAAAAAAACCCGAAAAAATGGCGTTAGATAGACTAAAAGGATTTTTGATAGCAGCATTGTTGAATAATATCCCATAAAATATATATATTCAAGCAAGAGAATATGACAGGATCATAATCTCTTGATTCAAGTAATTTAGTTTACCCTTTGATTACACAACAAAAGCATTACTGATATGAACACCCAAGCATTACCCATAAACAAGCGCAATCTCAATTTAGGGTTATTCAGGTTGCCATGTGATGTCACAAACTAAGATAGAGAGGACTCTCTCTTGATATGATATGATATCTTGAGTGAAGTAGTACTGCAGTTAAAATTAGCAAACAGGAAATAGATATTTGAGGAAGACAATCATACGGCTACTGTATACAATATGTGCTGAAAATATAGAACCATTCCACAAATAAAGTCAATATAATCTGCTCATTTAGACTGGTCACTTAGTGCTATCGTTGAGCACTAAGCACTCTGATGACTCGACCTCGCACTTTATCTTTAGCTCAGTTACGATTTCTTTTATTTTCGCCAACTGTTCACGACACTGTTCATGTTTTGAAGGCGTACTCGCGAACTTTTTCATGCATACTAGTCACGCCTCGCGTCCACACTAGCACAATGAAAAAAAAAACGCGAGTTAAGCCAAGATTAAGTAATTATGGCCGTTAGCTAGTGTGGACGGAATATTCTGCAAGATTTTCGACTAGCCTCTTTTTTTTGGGGGGGGGTAGTAGTGTTATCATTATCAAAGTTCGTTTACAATTTACCTTAAGTATTTTTTGTTGTTAAGGCTTTGTTTACAGTCTGAAATTTTCCTTCGAAAAACGAGTTTAAGTGTTTAATCGTTTACATTAACCCATAATTTCATTTACCACCAAATTATGCGTCCAATGGCAGAGCTAGGTTGTCATTTCCGGTCTGAGACTTGTAAAGTATAAGAAAAACAAAACATCACCTCTGACATACCATTTTCAAAACGTTAGAGACCAGAAATAAGTCAATCACTGTGCTAAAATGATCAAAAATCGTAACTTCTTCGGGTGATGTAAGTGCATAAAAAAATTAGAGAACAGAATTAGATGAATGATGGATTAAAAGCAATTACAATACAGGCGGCGAACGCGAGAATTGTGTGCAACACAAAACTTAAGTGTTGCTGCTAATTGTCAGATAGAGATCCACTGTTTATCTTCGTTGTGTTAATGATATGCTAAATTGTAATACGCCTGAAAGGAAAATATTCTCTTTGACAGCCCGGAGTCAAGTCATTATTTATGCTCGCTTTTACGCAACACAAGCAGTTGGCCAGTTTTTGCGCACAGAAAGATCAGCGTGGCAGAGGTTTTCCGTTATCTAAAAAAAGTTAGATCGCTTAGTTAATTTAGTGTTGATCTTTTAACTGTTTTGCTCTGTTACGCTTGTTGATTCTGCTACAGTTTAAATTTAGCATCGATTCAGTTTTTAAAACAACACAGGTGAAATGGCGAAGAGTACCATTTTATATCTTCGCATCGGAGAGGGAAAGAACCTACCGAGAAAAGACATGTAAGTCCGCAACGGGAATTTAATTTAGAAACAGATCAGTTAATTGTTTTTCTCGTACATTTCATAACTTGTTTAACTTAGTAGTCGACTTGAGAAATGATTGTCGTGCGAACCGCAAAACGAACAAGAGTAATTTAAAACCGGATATTGGTCAATGAGTGAATTCGGAAATAATTCTGTTTTGTTCTCTTTTTTTAATCAGCTCTGGGAAGAGTGATCCTTACTGCATCGTCAAGATTGACAATGAAGTTGTAGCACGGTAAGTGGATATCTCCGGGTTGTTTTGCTGTTTATTGACTTGCTGCGTATATCACACTATTACACTGTGAAAATCCGTGATGAAAGGAAAATGATGTTATTCGTCGATACCAATTCGAAATTTATCATCAATCTTTTACACCGAAGCTATCGTAACGCTAAAGGAGTTTACTTTACTGTAAGGCTGAACACGAATAAACATGAACGACTGATCAGTCCACAAAACTCAATAAAGCGAACAGTCGGTAAATACCAGCTTCGACTTGACAGCTGTTGTAATCTCAAACAAAATCTGTAAATAAAATTGTACTTCCTTGTGCAAATGTCAAACTAAAAGAACTCCACCTGAGATAATTCAGTTGAGATAAATGCTTTGAATATTTTGGACATGAAAGTTTGCTAAATTGGCGGGTATTTCGCTCTCGATATTTAACCAAAACAACGGCCAAGGCCTATTCAAGCAGGAAGAACACCCAACTTGTATTCCTTGGTAAAACTGACCCTTGAGCACTAAAAATCTGCATAACATGTTCTCGAACTTAATGCAACGAGGACATAAATTGACCAATTTCATCGCTGTTTTAAATAAACGGTTAAATAAGATTTGGAATGAAAAGTCGTGAGTTTACCTCTAACAAATTTATGTACACACAGTAAATTAGCAAATGCGCCTAAAAATGAGAAAAAACGATTAATTGGGATAATTGAATTTAAGTAATTAAACATTCAGTGAGTCAATTAGGTATAATGTTTAAGTTCAATTATTAAAGAGGGCGGAAATGGTAAGGGATTTTTGAAATAACTATAAAACGATAGTGGTCCTTTCGCCATTCAGAAGCGGAATGTTTATGTGATTATAAAGTGTATTGTTCACATGAATGATATAAATGAACTTGACGCAATATCGTCGAAAAATGCAAACTTAGTCGTTTCAGTGTTGTCCGATGGAGTCGGTTCAAAGATGGTTTTGAAAAAGGACTGAAAACGCGACTTCTGTTAGCAATCTGTAAGCAGCGGTAAACTGACTATTAAAAGCAGAAATTCCTAGAATCTCCTCCCCTAAAAGTAAATAACAAGGTAAAAAAAAAAAAAAAAAAAATACAAAAGATTGTGCTCGGTTGTGGACCTTCCAACATAAATCTAGCTATTTTTGTTGACTCTTATAATGTCTGCCAGGCTTCATAACCATTCCCCTCTATCATTTCAGCGTTAATCTCAAACTGCCCGACAGATGTAATAATAATTTACATCTTTAATTGTCGTCTTTGACAAAGAGGTTTTGATTGTGACATACACCACAGCGAAGTATTTTGTCCTTAGTCTAAATCAATTCACCTACTCATTCACTATCTTATTAATTGATTCTGCAAAAATTAGTAATACCACCATTTCTTATTTTTTCTTTTAAAAATGAAAAGCAATATACCTCTAAATAGAGGCTCAAATGGCCTTTCATAAATAGGCGTCACTTTTTGGTTTCCAGCGACAGAGATTTTAGGTAAGTAAACCTTTGGAATTTTATGTTGCAATCGTCTTTTGTACATACTGCAAATGAGTTCTAAATGGCTAACAAGGTCACTGCAAATACAGCTTCTATCATGTTGTAAAACGCTTTTAAATCGGAATAATCAGTGAATTCCAAGTTGTAAACACGTTCGCTAGTTATGACGGATGCGACCTGCCCCAGGTTCCCACTTTGAAAAGCTCCAACTCTACGCTTGCGACCGGCGTGCTTCAGAGCACTGGAGACCAGTCTTCCTGGCTGTACCATGCGGAGGTCTGTTATACGATAGATGGAAAATGAATAAATCTCATTAGCTAAATCGTTTCCGAAAAAAAAAAAAAGCGAATTTAATTTGGCAATCGGTTCAAAGCAACAACAAGAAATGAACGTAGCTTGGGTGAAACTTCAAATAAATTCGACTAAGCTAGTACTCAGTTTAATTATCTTTCAGATCAATTGTCTTTTTTGTTTTCTCGTATTCGTTCGTTTCGCCTTCCTCGGCCATTGATTTCAACTTTATTTTAAAGCCAAATTCCTGGAAATGAAGTTCGCCAAAATGAGGCCTCTTGTTTCTTGAATTGAAAGGTAAAAAGGAGTCGATAAAGACTCGATAAAGAAAACAAAACAAAACAAAACAAA